TTGCTGTTGCTATGAGTAGGTGCTGTTAAGGTTGCCAGACCTTCTTTCAGTAACGGTTCTAAGAAAAAAAGAGAGAAAAAAAAGTTGGATCACGGCGGAGAGATTGATCCACCAGCTGGGCACGAGGAGCAGGTGTCAGCCGGACCACCGGCGGAGTTGATGTCGGTCGGTCCTCCGACCGGGCAGGTTGGTCAGTGGCCACCCCAGAGGACTCAGGTGCTAAGGTCCCTTGGGGGTTCGCTAACTGTAGTGTAATTGGGCTGGGTCGAGGAGACCTTAGACCAAGGGCAGGTGGCGGGGGTTGGTGCTGGTGGGGACCGTGATGGCCACGTCTCCTCCGATGGCCACCACGGAACCCAGAGAAGATGGCCAGGCGAGTCCAGTCAAACAGATGGTGGTGGTCACTGTCGTTTGCCAGCCAGGAAGCAGATTGACCAGAGGGTGAGTCTCTCTGCCCAGGGAGTCAAGTGTGGGGTCAGGCGGGCAGGTGAAGGACAGGCAGGCGGGCGCTAGCCTTGACTTGCTGCTCGGACCCCCATGCCCTTGTTCCCCAGCATCCACCTCTCCCTCACCTCCCTTTTTCCCCTCAATAAAACCTGTTTCACCGGAACATTGCTTTTGGTTCCTCTCTGTCCAACACACACTCAACATTTATAGTCTGTAATGTCCTAGACAACATATCAGCACCAGATGCAGACCAAAGAATGTGCTGAACTTGTCCAGCACTGCCAAAATTCCCCAAGCTTTCCTACCAGGATTGTTGTATGATTCTTCATTTATTTCAGTCATCAGAGTGGAAAGTACAGCGTAGTTGTCAAGGACAGATTTCACTGTACCTGTGCGTACCATCCATTCCGTTGGGCAAAGACTGCTCAGGTTAATATTGCCATGGACTATTTCATTTTTTAAGACTTCATGCACAAAGTCCAGTGCATCTCTGATGACTTTACATTTTTTCCCAGTATCTTGTAAACATAAATTAAGACAATGCACAAAGCAATACACATAAATGGCTGCCAGATTGTCCCATTTAAAGAGTCCATTCAAATGTCCAGAACTACTTGCAGCCCATCATATGCCTGTCCACGGCATATACTGGGCAAAATGTTGCAGCGGACCAGAATGTTGTTTAGTTCAGTGAGAATGGTGGAGGCGTGAGGTAAGTCAAATAGGCCAGTAAAGTCCTCGTGAGAGACTGAGAGACTGTCGTCAACCCAGCGGAACAGAACCACCAACTTCTCTTTGTTTGAAATGTCTCTTGTTTCGTCTGCTAATATTGCATAAAACTCCCCACGAATAGGTGACAGTACTGAACGAGAAACTGAATGAATCAGTTCATTGATTATGTCATGGCTTATATAGTTACTGTCCACTAACCACTGGTAAATGTCAGGACAATCCTGTGCCCGTAATTCCAACAACTTATAAAGATAGTGGTTTTTTGGATCATTACCATCTGATGGTATGCCCTGACCCATGAGATTAATGATGGACATTATCTCCTTAACTAGTATGTCTCATCTGGGCTGTTGTTTAACTTTTAGCTGGGTGTCAAGCTGGGACACAATAGACTGCTCCACGGCCTCTCTATGATATTTGCTACTTTCATGTTTCCGAAAAGAGCACACAGTATTTTTCCAGTTTTGGAATCCAAGCACAGAGAAAACATGTTCATTAGTTTTGCTTAACCCCAAACCCAGTCCTTTAATAGTCCAAAGGCAACACTGAGCGCAGAACATTTTTGCTCGCATTTGACACATTAGTCACTGGAAGTCTTTAAACCGCTGTGGTTGAACAGACCGGCTTGTCTGTGTTACACCTTGTACAGGTCTTGTTCCCAGAGAATTGCTGGGTCGTCTGGTTGGTGAGACTTTGTCAGATCCCTGCAAAAGTCACTGGAGCAGTGGACTTCTGCCAGGCTTGTAGAAGGAGAAGACGTGGAAGCTGGGGGCTCTGGAGCGATAGAGGAGTCTATAGCCAGGGCAGAGGGCACAAATGGTTTCCTGGAGGAGCAGCAATGACTGCGACAGAACAGACAGAGTGACCAACGTAGCTGGAGCCGAGGCAGATGAACACGGACTGTAGACTCAGTTGCTGGCTGGATGAGACCCACCAGATATAGTGTGGCACGTTGGGACAGCCGAGGCAGCAGCGACACATCCAGGGCTGTCGCTGTCTGGTACAGCGGCAGACCAGCTAGGTGGAGCAGCAGACCTTTCATTTCAAGCTTCCCCAGGGAGTTCACGGTCAGTGTCGGGTGAAGTGACAGCAGCTGCAATTCCCTTAACTTTCGCTGGCATTGTGCCCAAAAATGTGTTATTTTACAGCGTTTCATTGTCGGTAAAACTTTAACGCTAACGAAGTAGCAGTCATAAGAAGTGCCAGGTGGCTAGGATTTTTCAGTTTTGTTTACATCACATGACACAATCTGCCAATACATTTTTGGATAGAATAATTTATTGCTCTCTCATTGGAGAATGATGCTGCTGCTGCCATAGACTACTGTGCATTTCATCTATCGAAGAGTTCAGTTTTATTATATATATTTTAAATTTTATTTAAATTATCCATGGTCATTGGCACTGCCTCGCTGGCTTCTGTTACACCTGGTTCTTGTCAGAAAACGTGCCACAGTATTCTGGTTCAGCTGAAGAGACTTACTCTAGCAAGCTGATAATAAACAAATTGCATTCATCAACATACAGCTGTTGTTTTTTAAAGCTCCACAGAGCTGCAGAGTTGGTGATAACTGGGATCAGAACATAGACTGTATATAAATGTGTGTATGTAATGTTTAAACAGTCAGGGGTTCAGAACAACCAGAGACAGTTTCACTTCACACCAAGTCATTTCATCCAATGGCTGCTCAGGTTTTTCTGCTACTAACTTAACTAAGTATAGTTAACTGACAGAACAAACTTGCTTTCTGCTTGAAACTTTTTATTCAGTTCACAATCATCACATGCTACAAAAACATAGTGTCGTGTCAGAAGGAATGAGTTCGCTCTGTTTGAAGAGGAAAAGGAACTACTTCATGGTTGAATGAAGGTTAAACACTGATAAGATCACAGTGTCTATCAGTCATTAAAATGAAATGAACATTCAGCCATGTTGCTGTTGGCATGTTTGATTGGTTCGTCTCTCCCATCTTTCTGTTAAGCATCGTTTCTTCTTCTGGTGCAAAGTGCACATGATGCCAACAAATTTCCCCGACACATGCTTTGTTGGAATAAATGAAACTAAATACACACAGCAGTGTATTTAGTGAGGTAGGAGCAGCAGGATCCCTCCTTTCATCAATATTTGATCAATATCTGATCAAAGTGTATCATCAGTAGAAGTTGGATCCTCTGCCGGCTGAATTTACCTCCCTGTGAGATTATATACTTAGTACACTCAACGCCTCTCTATGAGTGTTGTGAACATTACATAAATTACACGTGGCACTCGTGAGTAATGCTACATGGTGGCTGCTATGGCACTGCAACGCCAATAGAAGGATTAGAGTGTCCATGAGGGCCCATGAAGAGTCTTTGTTTAGAATAATATAAGTCTGTTAAACTCTCTGAATTTTCTTTGGCAGTCAATGCAGCCGGCTCAGACACTTTTAATGGCTGAAATAAAGAAAACACGGTCTGACATAAAGCGGATGTCAAAAAAAAGGGAGAAGAGTTTTTCTTGTGAGGTGGAAGTTTGATGCAGCTTGTTCACAAACAAAAGAAAAATCTGAGAGTTTAATAGAATGATATTGTTCTAAACAAAGGCTTTAGGTAGAAAAGTAAACACTACATATTGTTGATCACATCAGACACACTCCTGTCAGCTCCCACTGCCAACAGCCGGCTGCCAGAAAGCCCAGAGTTGTTATAGCCTTCTTGTATCTGTACCGGTTGGCACACTTCCATCAGGTTGGTCTGTCTAATGCTGAAGTTTAGCACACAGATCCAAGAGCAAGAGAGTCTCTAGGGAATCTAAATCCAAGTATTAGCCTGTCATCATCATGAGCCAGGAAATCATAATGGAGACTCTCTAATCCTCCCATTGGTGTTGTCCTCTGCAGTGCCATAGCTCAGCCTTGCAGCATTACGCACCAGTGTCACACCGTATTTATATTGTAATGCTTGTTTTATGTAACGGTCAGGGGTTCAGAACAACCAGAGACACTGTCACTTCACACCGAGCCATTTCATCCAATGTATATTTAAAAGATGGAACAAATTTGTTTTCTGCTTTAAATATTTTCATTTATTTACAATCATCACGTCCTACAAAAACGGTTTGTTTGTTTGGAGATCAACAGGAACTACTTCAGGGTTTGACTGAAGGTTAAACACTGCTAAGATCACAGTGTGAACATTCAGCTGTGCTGCTGTTTTGCATGTTTAATTGTTTTGCCTCTCCTATCTTCCTGTTAAACATCGTTTCTTTTTAAGGTGTAAAGTGCAGCTCTGATGGTGCCGACAGTTTCCCCACCCATGCTTTGTTGTGATAACAGAAACTAATTGCTGTGCACACTTAAGCAGTGTGTATTTAGTAATGCGGGAGCAGCAAGATCCCTCTCACACATCCTTTTACATCAGTATCTGATGTTCTGTCCTCTGATCAAATCAATCATCAGTGTCTACTGTCTGCAGAGTGAGTAGTTGTTGAAGTAGGATTCAGAATTTACTGTCCTGGTGGTAAAAGGAACATAAATAGAAGTATAATATATAAAAAGTAAGCAGATCAAATAATACAATAATACTAATACTATAATACAATGACAGCTGCACCTTTAAAGCAGAGTTTACTCACTGTGAGTTAAAACAACACTCACATGTCCACATGTACATATAAAGTTTTGAGGTACGTGTACTTCAGTGTTTCCATGTCTTACTCTGTTGCAGTACTTCTCAGGGGAACTATTGTACTTCAAATATAATAAATTTGGTTATTTTAAGTATACTTGTTGAGACGAATGTCAAATATTAAGTTGATTTAGGTTTAATTTTTTTGTAGCTTAATTATTAAATTATTTCCTCGAATACCAATTGATTGATTGGGAGATCACCTGGAGGGGCAGTCCTGAGCTGAGAAGTTTGTGTGAGGTGAAGGTTCAAGGAGGTGTTTCCGCTGCAGCCAGGTGGGAAAAGACGCCAGTTTAATGAGAATTAGGGCCGGGAAATGTGCTGGAGTTATACAAAGAAGGAGAAGGAAATGAAGATTAACAGCGGAGGGTGCATCAGGGTGCAGGAGATCTCAGAGACGCTACTGGTATGTGAGTGATCACTTAGTTTAAGTGTATTTGGACTTTTTTAATGATTTGCATGCAGCACGATATAATGGTTTGTTTAAAAAGATCAGTGTGACGCTTTCGGGATCGTGCTGTGCTCTTGTTTATTTTGTCTGCTTTCATTTAACAACATGGTTGATTAGTTTAAGTGATTGTTTAATGTGCTTATTAGTCGTGAGTCATGATAGCGGAGGAAATTGTTTCTTTACATTATTACGTCATTCAGAGTGGAAATGTAAACATGATTAAAGTAAGTCAGTAGTCGATAAAGTGGAAACGCATGATTAACTTGTTTATTTAAGAGCTGTGTGAATTATTATTATTCGGATTAATCTTTGCTTTATTACTGATCATTTGTTTAATTTGAGTCACAAATGCTGACGGAGTACAATTGGAATATTATTTAAATAAGGGGCCTTCTCGCTGTGAGGTGAGAGTGCTAACCACTGCACCACCGTGCCGCTCTGTTATCAACAGGGTGATGCAGAAAATTAAGTTATTAACATTATCTGAATTCTTCACTGAAACCAGCTGATTTTTACTTTGTTCTGATTCATTTAAAACATCAAATATGTAATAAATCATATTTTATTGCTAATATAATTCAGGCTGCGTTCATAGGACAATTCAGATTAAAGGGGAAAGTATTGTGACACAGTGGGCGAGAGAGAGAGAGGTCCTGAGGTCAGGTGACCATCGCTGGAGGAGGTACTCAGATCCTTCACTCCAGTAAAAGTACTGTAGAAATACACTGTTACAAGAAGGTTTGAAGGTTTTGGAAACATGTAGAGAAAATTAAAAACCGTGGCTGGAGGACGTAGCCGTGTGGATTCGCCTTCTTCTGAAATCTGCTGCTGTCAACAGATGCCAACCAGGAGTGAAGCTCTTTTTTACTAGAGCAAAAATCTGCTGTTTAACACCTCCTGATCTCCAGTATTGATCAACTTATCCCTTCATCCGGCGTTGTGCCGATCTGTGGGTGAACTTTGCAGAACGTTTGAATCATCTACTTGATGAATGGCAGGCGAGCAGAGCAGAGAGAAAATGGTCAACAATAAGCCCCAGTTTAGCTGGAAGGGTACAGTGTAAGTTACAGTGAGAATGATGAATAGAGACTGCAGCTCTGCAGCTTCTCAAGATTAATTCCAGCTGTTATACTGGGTCCAAGCATTCTTGTTGACCCTCAGTGGAACGCTGGATTTCCAGGTAATCCTATTTAGAAATAATTAGGGAATAAATGGGGCAGAGTCAGAGTAAAGCGGGGACTGATTGTGGAGCCCTTTCTAAAATCCTTTCACCAGTTGTGAAATTAATGTATGAAAAAGATGAGGCATCAATGAGACACGTTGATAAGTGGGTGGAGTGGGGTGCAGTTTCCAGAAAAGGGAAGCTTTAGTCTAGAAAAGTGTGCAGCCTTGTCCAGAGAGACGAAAAAGAAAGAACCTGCACTTCAGATTGGCACATGAAGACAAGAATTAAGGGAAAGGAAAACTTAGAATGGAAATTAGACGAGATAAAATTAAGATAAAAAAAGAAATCATCCAGTCCTGGACTCTGCTCCTCCTCCTCCTTGTGCTCTGGTTCCAGATCCAGATCCAGCCCAGGTGCCCAAGCTCCAGACTCGGGAGAGAAGGAGGGTGGTTAAAGATGAGGCCACTGCTGAGGCTGCTGCTTTAGAAACAGAGACTCCTGAAACATGACACTGCAGCAACAGAGAGATGAGGAAGCCAAAGATTAAATCTGCACTCAGAAAGACTGCTCAGGTCCAATAAATGTTGAAAGGAATATTGGTATTCACAACATTGATGAAGGAATGGCTCACATGACAGCTTCACAGACACAGTTGGAGCAGTTTAGACAGTTTGTAAAAGAAAAGACACCGATGGGCAAATCAGCTCAAGGATAACTTCCAAAAAATACATACATTCCAAAATTTATACTTCACACCAGTCCTACAAGAAAGCACAGAGTACAACAATCTCTACTTCGATTCACTTTACTGTAGAGAAACAATCCTGAAGTAAAGATGTCACTGGATAATTGCTGCCTGCAGGATCATGTTTACATGCAAGAACAGACCGAATCATGTAGGACGATCCTGGTCTGCATGACCATTGCCTTATGATCAGTGTTGGGCTAGTAACTTCCAAAATGTAATACATTATAGATTACTAGTTATTGTCATTTGATAGTAATTAGTTATATTACAATACTGTCTCTGAATTGTAATGCTTTACACTACTTTTGCGTTACATTCACTGCTGTTAATGGATGTATTATTCTGATAGTAAGATGTGCTGCATAGGTGGGTTCTAGTGATGTGCAGAGATGTATCCGTGGATCATGTAGGTCATATCATAAAAATGAACCTTCTGATTTATACCGGGGGAGAGATGGAAATAGGTGAAAAAGGATTAAATGTCTCCCCATTAAGAAAGACGAGGTATGGCAGCATAACGTCATTGATTCTTTGAATCTCCTGACAGTGTCGGGTCGGAAATAAGGACCGGCCGGGCCAGTAAAAGACCTGGTCCCTACCCTAACCAACGTAATAAACTCAATAAAATTACTCTATTAGATTTCTTCTTTAGTCAAAAGACGGCGTAGTCAAAAACTTCACTGGAGACGGTCAAGAGTCGGTGCAAAAGAGTTTATTCCAATAAAGGACAGATAAACCCGAGCAACATCCCTGCAGGTCTCAGGATGGAACCGAGTTGGTGGTCAGCGAACATCGCCTTATATTCACCTTAAGCTCCACCTTGTCCCTCCTTTCAGGTGGGCGTTACATCTTAACTCCTCCTTATCTCCTCCTTCTAGGTGGGCGTTACTCCTTAACTCCACCTATGGTGTTCGCTGACCATTCCCCCCCTTTGGTGGATTTCTTATCCTCTATTGCCATCTAGTGGCCTTTTTCTTGTACTGTTTTACCAAATTAACCCTTTCATTAATGTTACAATTTCCACTTTTTAACTATTATTATGTGTAATTATTGTTACCATTTATCTCTCTTTATATTTTTTACACTACTGGATTTAGAAATCCACCAATATGTTTCAACTTCAGTCCCACCGTATTTTTTTAAAGTTATACAGGCATAGTTTGACACCATTAAAACTTAAACACTTACAATCGTATTTTTTAAAAGAATTAATAAGGAGTAACATAGTTCATACATGTATAACGTGATTCAATGAACAATTACATGATTTAGCAATGCCAACCATGAGGGTGCTTTGTCTCATACAAGTTAACTTTCAGCAGCGCAGAGCTTGGTTGCATGCAGTACCTAGCCGTACCAGGCGCCATAAATCACAACATGTCATGATCTCATTCTTGGCTTCAGTTCGCGATGATCTCAGCCCTGGCGTACGTGACTTTCTGCATGTGCCTTGCTTCTAATGAGCGGGTTACGGTTGGCTAGGTTTTGCCTGCGCGGCCTGAGCAGCTCCTCTGCTCATTAAAAAGCACACGTTCATGAATACACAGAGTATAGGAATAATGTATGATAACACACAGAATATAAGAATAAAATATGAGTTTAAACTCACTCTTTAAACACTCAGTAGGTATACACTCAGTAGTAAAACACTCAGTAGTTTAAACACTCAGCAGTCAGACTTCACACTAAAAGAATACTCAGTAGTAAAACACTCAGTAGATATAACATATTGCAAACCATTGATAATGTGTATAAATATAGAAAAAGAACCTAACAATCAATCTAGGATTTAGGCCTTATGCAATCAATCTAGGCTTTAGGCCTACATGATCTTTAGGCCTTATTCAACAACAGGATCAGTCAGGATGAACTGACAGCAGCCTCTCTGAACAGGAAAGTAATTCATTACAGCACAAACACACAGCCTATAGAAATCTATTTACGCATGATCCATCAGGGGAGCTACTGTCTTGTTAAGAGGAGCCGAGTTCCCCTGTAGTTTGCACCCTGACTACAGTCTCGACCATCAGATTCCCACAACAAGAAATAACGTTACTCTTTTACTCCTGGATTTGATTTTCTGCTGCAGAAATGTTTCTCGGTGTTGGTGAATTATTAAAAAAACACTTGATTTCGGGTTAAAATGCATTGTAACGTGTGTTACTGAGATTGTAATTATATTATATATATTTAAAATAATAATATTACGAATTTTTTTAGTAATGCGTTACATTACTGCGTTACAGCAAAAAGCAATACACTACTGCAATTGCGTTGCTTTAGTAACGTGTTACTCCCAACACTGCTTATGATACAGTGGTCTGAAAAGAGAATTACTCATGGATGAAAGATGAACTTAAAATTACAGGCTACATAACTTTACCTGACAGGCCTTCATCAAGTTTTGCGGGGATACTCTGCCATGTGAACTCCCTCCTGTTGATGCCCTATTTAGTTAAACAGTAATAGTTTCTGGAAACTCACAAACAGCGAGGATCAGTCTCTCTCCAATGTCAATTCAACTTCGGCAGCCAGCGGGTGCGTGCGTGAGGCGAGCACAACCTCGACAGTTTCACGGGAACGCACTCGTTGCTACGCCTTGCGCTCGACCACTTCACCTCACTCTAACAGCGAAACTTGATACTGAACATAGACTGTGTCTGCTGCTCCCTGATAAAAGATACTTGCTGATACCTGTTCAGAAAATCCCAAGTAAACTGGAACTAATGGGAACTTGTTTTAACAAGCTAGATAAAAGGTCATTCCCAAAACAGCTTTGGTTTAATATTTGATTTGATCACATTAATGTTTAAGTTGAGATTTACAAGAAATATTTTATTGCTGCTGTGTAAAGTGAATACTGCTGGGGAAAAAGCACCTTATTTGTTTAAAGTGTTTGCAAAGCACATGTTATTGCACTTATGTGTATATAGCAGTGCATTTAAATTAAAAGTGCACAATACACTACTTTAGAATTCATTATTCAGTTTTGCGCGTATATATATATACATACAATATATACATGCATAGGCGGAAATCCTGGGGGGGTCAGGACCACCCCATCTGAGGGTTGTTCCCCCCCTTAAAATCCATTAAATAATATAATAATATATATTATTGTGTAAGTAGTAAAACAATACCAACGCAAACTGAGCAATTAAAGTTCCTTTTAAGTTTAGAAACATTTTGAGTCCCCCCCCTCTCTTTGCCACGGTGGTTTGGTCCACTGCCTGCTTTCCCTCTCACAGCAGTCTGGTGGGAGAAAACCAGTTTCGAATCCATCAGTAGTTGTGGAGCTCCAGTAATGTTCAGCAGGCTGGCAGAGCTGTTTTATGCACTTTAAACATTGGAAGAACTGATTCTTTTGTCTTTAATACAGATGATGCTGAGTCATTAATAAATTAATCATGATAACCAATTGTTTTTCCATGAGCCCACTCTGTTATTATAACATTACCGAGCTTGTTTGGTAGCTTGTTTAACAGCTTATTTCACATGTGTCAAACTCAAGGTCCGAATCCTGCCCGCCACCTCATTTTATGTGGCCTGCACGGCATCCCACCACTGGATCGCGGTGTTTCCACATCCGCGTTTAACTAAGGTGGTTTTCCGACAACGGGAGATGAGAAATGTCCAAGAAGAGAAAAATGTATGCAGAAGGAAGGCAATTTCATGAAAGATGGGAGGGTGAATACCTGTTTGCACTTCAAGGAGAAAAACCAGTATGTAATGAAGGAGTACAATAAACATTGGCATTTTGACACCAAACATGGAGCTAAGTATGCAAAATTTAGCCTCCTAGAAAAACAAAAACTTGTCCAAGAATTAAAAGGCAGAGTGGAAATGCAGCAGCATATGTTCACAAAAGCTACAGCCAAAAATGATGCAGCAGTGAAAGCTAGCTTTATTGTGGCTGAAGAAATCGCCCAGGCTTCCAAGTGTTTTTATGAGGGTGCATTTTTGAAGCAGTGCATGCTAAAGGTGTGCGAGCAGGTGTGTCCCGACCAGATGCAGACTTTTAAAAATGTCAGTTTGTCAAGAAACACTATTGCAGACCGAATTAAGGAACTAGCAGGAAATCTGACAACACAGTTGGCCGAAGAGACACTTTTTTGTTCGCTGTTGATGAAAGCACGGACACCACTGATACAGCGCAGCTGTCCATTTTTATAAGAGGGGTCAAGTAGGACTTCTCTGTTACTAAGGAGCTTTTGGATGTAGCTGCCACGCATGGGACTACAACTGGGAGGGACATTTTTGATGTGGTGGAGAAGTCCATAAGTAAAAATAAATTACCCTGGGAAAAGTTGGTGGGGCTAACTGCCGATGGCACACCTGCAATGTATGCAGAAAAAACATGCTTGGTTGGACTAATGAAGGAGAAAATGCAAAAAGTAACTTCCCCACACCTCTGATAAGGTATCATTGCATTATACATCAAGAAGCTCTGTGTGGAAAGGTTCTGGAACTGGAAGATGTAATTACCACAGTCATGAAAACAGTGAACTTCATTCGGGCCACCGCCAGTTCCAGCTGTTTTTGCTAGCGTTAGCTAACTAACATTAGGAACAATCCGCAGCTGACATTTTTCTGGCTTTATATTAGGTTTTGGAAAGAGAATCATACTTCTCCTGTCAGCCTCTCTGGGTAGCTGCTGTAACTATTACAAGATGCCCTAGGAACAGCGTTTGAACAGATCTTAGAAAAATACAGCAACAAAAAGCTAAAAAACGACTGTTTTTACATTAGAGTCAATGGAGCGCAGCCATGAAAGTGTCGGACCTCAGTTAGAGCAAGTCCTATAATGCGCTGTGATTGGCCAGCTGTGTATTCGGGGCGTGGCTTA